TGCCCACCACACCCTTTAATCCACTAAATCTGTCATCTGGAAAAGAAGCCAATGGACAACCTAACATCTGCACAAGAGAAGATCCCCATGAGTCTGCCCCAACAATGACATCACAGGGACAAAAAGGGAAGTAACTTCTAGTGAAACTCTAATGCTAGGCCCAGCCATTCCCATACACAGAACAAAGGGAGGTGGCTAGCTACTGAAGCACTAAATGCCAACCACAGCAATCTCAAGGGCATGTCACCTCCAAAATTAACTTTTTTTCCTGAAGACAGAGAACAACCTTTTGTAAGGCACTGAAGAAAACAAAATGCACTGCCCTTGACTTACAAGGCAGTTAAAGCTGGGTTCCTGGAAGACTTGGAACATCTGTTAATATTATGCCAAAGAAAAGCTTTATCTTTCTGTGATCAAGCTTAGGCTATCACAGAGGGATTTTCTACCCACATGAAAACCACACAAGTGGCTAAATGCCAGAGAGTGTTGCCTCCCTACCTGAGAGAACCAAAGGGTTCCTACAGATTTCAAAATATCCTTTCTGAGGACTACAAAGCTGCTCCAGGGACCAGGAGCACCCTCTCTCTAGTCCTACCCTCCTCCCACACTGCTCCTGGCTGGTTTCCATACTCAGAGTACACTTACCCAGCTCAGAGCCCTTGTGTCAATTGTCCTGGGCTAAGAGGCCTCTGCTTCCTCCCCCAAACTTGTCACCTCGCAGGTGACATTTCTGCCTCCTTGGATAGGCCCCAGTGCCTGCCTTCATCACTCAAGGAGGGTCAGGACGAATACTCCAAAAGCAGACATGGACAAGTAGCTTTTGTGTCCAATGCTAAGTAAGGCTGCCGCCTCCACCTTCTTCCACTAGGCCCCTCCTCACAGGTGACTCCTTATCAGAGAAGAGAAAGCAATGTCATTTAAAAAAAAAAAAAGGTTTATCAAGGCCTTTGGGATTAAAATAAAGATATAAAGATGACACACCGGCGGAGAGGCTAATCCTAATGACGATCGGGGAAACTACAGGGCCAACAAGCAAAATTGCACTATTTTAAACTATGCACAAGTGTATTGTGTGAACATTCCTACACCAGTAACATCTAGGGACTCAGGTGTGCACAGACCTGGGAACTGAAGGTAAAGCTGTTGAAGAAGCAAGATATGCATCAAACCTACCCCAAGAAATGCTAGCTCTAAGCATACATTTCAGTTGAATACTTCAGTATGTCTGAAGTCAGATACGACCTTAACAGAAGAGAAATGTTAAAAACTGAAAATAATGCCAAGCAAAATTTCACCACCAAAGTCACTAGAAGACAGAGTATTTTAAATATAAGCTGTTGGATTCAAACAAGGAAGAAGTTATCTACAGAGCAGGAAGCTTCAGAGGAAAACACACACTTCAGGCCATCTAGCTCTGCCTTCATTCTCATTCTTCAGCAATGAGTCTTACAAAATCTAGAAACCCCTTTCTTGGCCACAAGCACCTAAATCATACCAACAGAATTAAAAAAAAAAAAAAAAGAGGAGGAAGAAAGAAAGAAAGAAAAACTTGTCAGAGGACACCTAGAGAACCTGGGCCACAAACTTCCCTGTTTCAGTATATGCCACTGTAAAAATATTTTGATAATTGATACCAACAAAAAATTATTGTTTAACATACAGTCATCAAGCACAAAGAGCCTTTTGGAGAGAGTTCTAGTTTGCTAGCATCCCTTTGACAGGTATAATTTATCAATATAGATATCCCATACTTCTTGCTTCCTGAAATGTGCAGTGATAATAACCAAGTCCAACTCACCCATACGATACAGCAGCAATTCTCAGATCCTCAGAAATATGGGGAGCTGTCTACCACATAAACTTAATCACCTCTAACTGTAAAAATATGCCTGCCTAGCATGGGAGCACACACCTGTAATCCCAGCAGGTCGTAATCTTAGGGGCTAGGGCAAGAGGATTGAGTTTAGGGCAAACCTGTACAATACAGTGAACTTCTTCCCCATGAACAGCACCAATAAAACATAGGTCTATCTTCCTATTTTCTGTCAATTCCCGTTATCACTTAAAACTTTCCCTATTATCAAGGCCTGCAGGAGTACCACTCTTCCTAGTATATTGGCAGCTAACAGGCAGCAAGCCCTGTTACCAATTTGAGTAAAAAAATCAGGAAACAGGACCAGGTAAGAATGTTGTGGAGGCTGGGTCCTAATCAGTCTCACCACTTCTTTGTATCTGTAGCAGGACAGAGACAGTGAACACCTAATAGGTCCTCCTGGAAATAAAGATCTTGCATGTGCCCATACTAACAAGTTTTCCAGCCAGGCCACTTGACCCACCTGAGAGGGCTGAATTACCTTTCAGGAGATTGACAAGCAACACCACAAGCTATTACCTGGAATTTGTTATCACAATCAATCAGTGTGTAGTGAGGAATCCCAATGTGTGTACACACACACACACACACACACACACACACACACACAAAGATGCTCTTAATGTCAGATCTCAACACAAAGAAATTTTCATGTTTCTCTCACTATCTCTGTCAATTTCATGAAGATCAAAAAACAAAGGGATTCATGAGAGGCACAGGGACAGATCATGAATGGCATAGCAACCTAGAGCAGGCTGGGGTCTGATTGATGGGCTCCTGAATGCAAATGACATATATAGCCAGGCAGTGGTGGCTTAGGCCTTTAATCCCAGCACTAGAGGCAGGCAGATCTCTGAGTTTAAGGCCAGCCTGGTCTACAGAGTTGAGTCTCAGGACAGCCAGGACTGTTTCACAGAGAAACCCTGTCTTAAAAAACAAACAAACAAACAAAAACCCTGCACATCAATGTAACATTTAATTCAAAGAATCTGAAAAACATTGACCCAATACCCTCAAACCATTGTTAACAAGCTACTACATGAACCTGCACAACAAGTTTTTTCTCTTGGTTAGGATGCCTGACACTGGGTCACCACAATACTGGTCTAATTTACCTTTACCTTTAAAAAAAAAAAAAAAAAAAAAAGGCTGTAGTTTGAAGCCTGTCTGGTCCTGGGCAGAGGTAGCAACCCCATGGAGCAAAGATTTTGAACAACCCCTCTACAAGATACTATTGTGCAAGAGGCACAGTGGACATCTTAGCTACACAATTTACAATCAGAAGAGTGTGTGAGGAGCACAGAACTAGTTATTGTTACTTTCCTTCCAGGATGAGTAGACTGAGTATGAGTCAGCTGTTATTCACAGTTAAACCGTGTTGTGTGTGCAGTGCTGGAGATCCAAACCGAGACTTCATACAGCTAGGAAAAGCACTCTACCCCTAGTTCTTAAACCCTTTTGAAGTAGCAATTCTGTACATCTGCCTCACAAGCAAGAGAGCAGTGGGTGATCCAGTGACTCAGACTTATTTTCAACAAGATGCTTAAGGATAAGTGACAGACATTGCATGAGGAAAGAGAAACCTTTATGCCCCGGAGACAATGTAGTTCCAACAACGTAGCTCACACATCTGTGACTGCCCCTCACACCACACAACTCTGAACTCTGGAGAAACAGAGAAACCAGGTAGTAACAGTTCATCAAATCTCACAGACTAGGCTATTTGTGATAGTGCTGCCGAAAGCTCAAAGGTGAGGGCATTACAGTCGCCCACGTCAGACACTGTAGATACTGGTTAAGACCGAGGAGAGACATGGGGCCAGCACACAAAGCACCATGGCATCTCACTAGCCTTCTGTCTGACACACACTGCAGAAACCACCAGAATCAGCCTGCAGGAAAAACTGCTGACCACTAGTTGTGAAACAAGAACTACAACGGACTACTCCAGCACTGGTTGTGGCATCAACTACTGGGCTCTCCGGCGACTTCTGGGACTAAAGAGTACCCGTCCCTTCCTTTTCGGGCAAAACAGTCACTTTCTGGATGGGAGAATTGCTCCTCGATGAGAGCAGATTCCCTAGCACTTAGGTACCATACACCAGTTCAGCTACATACAGTCCAACATGGCAGGACCACCACCCTGGCTGGACAGGCAGAACTGTGTACCGGATCTGGTCTGTTACCCGCAGATGACTCAGAGACTGGGAGCAGGTTGTTCCAAGGCCAGGTTAAAAATTCCCCCAAGTCAGAAGGGCCCCTTCTAATCCACCAAATTTAAAAAAAAAAAAAAAAAAAAAAAAAAATAAAAAAAAAAAAAAAAAAAAAGAGCATCAAGGGAGTCAGTCCAGAGGTGAAACAAGACCCAACTCCTCCAGAGGCCAGCGGGCCCTTGAGTGTAAACCTCAATGAAGATCTCACCGGAGAAGTGTGGGCCCAAATTACGGTTCACTGGGGATCAGAGTGGGCACTCTGGGATCCCCCGAGATCCGCATATGTGCTCTTCTTAAATCCCAGCACCCGGTTCAGCAGTCCCCAGCCCCTATCCACCTGTCCCATCCCTTCCCCTCCTTACAGCTCTGATCCTCCGGGCCGACAGGAACCGGACTCGAGAAACAGAGGCAGACCTCGCCACCTGCGTGACCTTGACGCCGTCTCGGGGCCACCCAAGCCTCAGTTTCCCCCGCCCCAGGGCCCGTACCGTATCTGAAGCTGTCGGCTAACCCTTCTAGAAGGGAGACCCCGTGCTCCCCGAGCCCTGCTCCCCGCTCCCGGGCTCCCCGCTCCCGGGCCGTGGCGCCTGGGAGAGGCGCGGAGAGGAACAGCAGGAAATCTGGCTTCCTGGAGAGGAGCCGGCGTCCCGGCCGGACTTCCGGGCGGCGGCCCGCGGCGGGAGGCCAGGCGTAAAGGGCCGCGGAGTGGGGGGAGGGCCAAGCGGCCGTGGGCGACGCGGGGCTCGGGGAGCCCGGATCCTCTGCCCGGCCTGCCGCTAGGTCCACCGGACACAGATCCCGGCCAGCCCGGCCAGACTTTGGCCCTTAGCAGCCTGAGTCGAGCACCCCTCGACGCCCACGATGACCCGCCCGTGGCCGCCCCAGCTCCGGCCCCAGCGCGCCCCGCACCTCACCTCCGCGGCGGCTGCTCCCAGCCAGGCGTTGGTTTCGCTCCCACAAGATGGCGGCGCTGACGGCAGCCACGTCAGCGCCTGCCGCGGGGCACGCCGGGGGAAGAGGGCGGGCCCGCCTGATGCCCCGCCCCTAGGGAAAGGGCGCTTGCGCGTCCGCACCAAGTCGCCTTCACGGGGCGGAGCCAAAGCCGCTCTGCTTCCGGATCGCGGCCCCCCCGGGCTCGCACACCGGCGCCCTGGACTGGAACGCGCAAGGGTGTGGTGTGTGGGTTTCCGTGTCCATCGACGCGTGCGCACGCGCGCCTTCCTGCGGAATTCCAGCCCATTCCGCGGATGCGGGGGTTGAGGACAGTAAGCGTTCTAGAGCGCCAAGGTCAGAGTGGGAAGGTCGTGTCAGCACGGAGGGGGTGTGATGTCCCTCTCAGAGGGCTCCAGAGTCTCTGATATCCCAGCTGGCCCCGGGCACTGAAGATAGTGCTGTGACTGACAGGTGACCGAAGCGGGAAGAGGCGCAGTCCAAGTGTCAGATACACACCATGCCCCTACACTGGCCTTGGACCTGTGTGCACTCTTAGAGCTGACCCAGAGAACCAGAGATTTGCGTGGGGATGGCACTGCCTGAGCGGGTACTCTGGGGTGCCCCGGGGAGGGGGGGGCGAGTAATGAAGGGTGCAGGTGAGGAAGAACCTGTTACATCTCCCTGGGAAGCCTTCCCTGACCGATCAGAAGCAGCTGCGTGCCTCCTCCACCAAGTATGCGGGAATCAGACCCAGGCTCTGTCCATCCTGTCTAATTCTTCCAACCCATCTTTGTGAGGAATCCCACAGGCAAGAGATGTTCAGGGACCTAGGACTTTTTTTTTTTTTTTTTAAACCTGGAGCCCTATTTGTTGAGTTGGTAGGGGGCAGTTCTGTTACCTGGGCCTAGAACAGTCACTTTGTGTCCAGGCACAAGGTGCGGGGCAGACTCACTGTTTAGGGGCTGAGATCTCTGCATAGCCCTGGCTGTCCTGGAACTCACTCTGTAGACCAGGCTGGCCTTGAACTCAGAGATCTGCCTGCCTCTGCCTCCGCCTCCCAAGTGCTGGAATTAAAGATGTGCACCACCACCGCCAGGCTTCAGGGCTCCATTTTTAAGTGCCGCTTCTGTAAATTGCTATGGGGGTATCTGCCCACTCCCTCCCACCCTCAACACACAGCAAGTATTCATGCAAAGCCTTGGGTGCTGGCTCTTCACACCCCAGAGTCCTGTGATCCCAGCCATATAAGAAGCCCGTCACAGCCACTTGACAGATGAGAAAACAAAGAGACAGAGTGTCCAGGAAAACCACAGGTTACCAATCAAGAACCAAACTCTTTGTGTTCCTAAAAAGACAAAATTATGGCAAAATAGAGACAGGGTGGTAGTCCACTGTTTATCCTAACCTGACCACTGTACATTCTAGTCATGACCAAAAACTCACTATGTATCCCATAAATAATTATTTGTGTCAGTTAAAAACTTAAATAACCACTGTAGATACTGTGCAATGGATGATAAATTTGAAGTAGACCCTGCTACTAAAACCTAGATAGGCTCTCACTATCTTCCCAGGTCAGGTTAAAGCTCCAGTGACATTTTCATATTGTATATAAACTCTGAGTGTTGAATTGTAGATTCACTTAAGTGTATATAACTTTTTAAAATTTATTTATTTTATGTATGTGCGTGACTGCCTGCAAATATATATGTATACCACATGGGTGCTTGGTGCCCAGGGATGCCAGAAGAGGGGGTCAGATCCGTTGGGACTGGAGTTCCAGGTGTTTATGATTGCCATTTGGGTTCTGGGAAGCAAACAAGGCCTCTACAGGAACATCAAGTAGTCTTAGGCACAGAGCCATCTCTATAGCCCCAAGTATATTAAAAAGGAAATTGGACACCTGAGCTGAAGAGATGGCTCAGCCCTTAAGAGTACATACTGCTCTCACAGAAGACCCAAGTTCTGTTCCCAGATCTCAACTGCCTATAACCCCAGTTCTGGGGGATCTAATGTCTATGGCCTCCACAAGGGCCTGCTCTCTCTCTCTCTCTCTCTCTCTCTCTCTCTCTCTCTCTCTCTCTCACACACACACACACACACACACACACACACACACACACACAGTTAAAAAGTATCTTTTAAAAAAATATTAAGGGGCTGGAGAGATGTCTTGGTGGTTAAGAGCACTGAATGCTCTTCCTTCTAGAGGACCCAGATTCAATTCCTAGCAACTAACCCATTCAATTCATAACTGACTGTAACTCTAAGATCTGACACCCTCACACAGACATACATGCAGGCAAAACACCAATGCTCAATAAAACAATATATATTTTTTTGAGATAGAGTTTCTCTGTGAAACAGTCCTGACAGTACTGGAACTCACTCTGTGTAGATCAGGCTGGCCTCAAACTCACAGATCCACCTGCCTCTGCCTAACTTTAAAAAAAAATTAATAAAATCTTTACTTAAAAATACTTTTTTTTAAAGAAATAGAAAACCAAAGAAACTTTATTTTGGGGGGAAGAGTTTAGCAAAATGAAAAAAATGAAGAGACAGAATGGGGTTTATGTAAGATACAGTTTTGAAAATGATAAAACAGATTGCTGTATGCCCACTCCCAAGTTAAGAAACAGACTTTTTTCCTCTGTGCTTCTGTTTGGGTCCCTGTCCCGGTGGGCGGGGGAGGGGGGCGGATCGGGCATACATGTCTGTGGGAGCCCTAAGTGGGCATGTCTGAGGACAGACCCTACCAGGAAATGTCAATTGCTTGGGTAAACTGAGGCTAACTGCTCCGCAAGATTGCTGAGAGACCAGGAGTGCCTTTTCCTCTCTGAAGTCCCTGCATGCACCAGCTCTGGCCAGGAGGGGGCGAGGTGAGCTGACTGAAGGTGTTCGGGTGGAGGTCCAGGATCCTCAGCTACCTGTACTAGGAAGCTGGGAGTGCCTATGGCGCCTCCCCTCCCCTTCAGCTGATCATACACCAGGGCAAAGTGCAAGCCCTTCCTTTAGACTAGCCTACTCCTGCGGACCTAGTCAGAGGCATGGATGCCCAGTGTCCTGGCTTCTTGTTCTCCAGGTTGCTAGAGAGAGAACCTTACCTAGAGTACGGACCAGAGACAGGAATGCCCCCAGAAGGCAAGACCCAGTGGAAGGTAAAAGGAACTCTGTGCACTGAGGACTACCTCCTGTCCCCCAGACAGTTTGTACAGCCTCTGTGTGGAAGATGGGTGACATTCATGTCAGGCTGCTGATGCCTAGAGATGTAGAAGTCTTACTCCATATATATATACCACATACATCCATACACATGTATACACACTCATAGACTGAGATGGAGCCCACTGAAATGGAGTGTAACCTCCACACTTGACTGTTTCCAGCCCTGTGCCTCTATTCTTGGCCCCTTAGGCCCAGTACTTTGGTTCTTTTACAGACTACTGTGTTCCCCGGGATTCCTATGGGATCCCACCATACGATTTCCAGGGAGCTCACGACTGCACCAGAGAATCTAGCCTGTTGGGGAGGTTTTATGTACTGGGCAGGTTGGAGTGTGCCTGCAGGACTCCCTGATCTACAATGCCTGCCCTCAAGCTCTCAAAAGCCCTTTGCAGCAGGGGTCCCTGAGCAGGCTAACTAGCTGAAAAAATAACTTCACAGTGCCTCAGGGAAAGTCTGTGCAGCATTGAATCTTATTTGAATTCCACTTGGTGTTTTGTCTTATGTTCAACATGCTCATACAGTCAAGACTCTGGATCTCTAGTACCTGGTTTCGAGAGGAACTCTTCACACCCTTAATGACTTCCCCAGAGGGAGGAATACAGGGAGATCCCTGCCCTTCTCTAATTCTTTTTTTGTTTTGTTTTTGTTTTTGTGAGACAGGGTTTCTTTGTTTAGCTCTGGCTGGCCTCAAACTCACAGAGGCCCACCTGTCTCTGCCTCCTAACTGCTGGGACTAAAGGCGTGTGCCACCACCGCCCGGCCTTTCCCCTAATTCTTATCCCATTCCTTTCTCCAGGCCTTGGAGACAGAGAAAAAAAAAATTCTGTTTTCTAGAATGCAGCTCCTAAAATCCTGGGAATCTGGAAGCAAAGTGCTGATAAACCCTCTGCTGGCCAGCAGCCCCTGGATAGCTCCCAGGTGGGCCTGGTCACTGAAAGATCAGGGCTGGGTCAACGGGTGGGGACCCTCAGCCTCATCTCAGCACCCACAAAAGGAAGAAGGGCTGAAGGTTGATGGCCAGTGGTTTCATTAATCACTCCATGTAATGACGTGTCTATAAAACCCCTAGAGACAAGTTCAGAGCTTCTCAGGAGCTGGATGTGTGGAGGTCCTGGGGGGGCGGTGCCCAGGGAGGACATGGAAGCCCCGCCCCTTCCACACACCTGACCTCTTACATGTGTTCACCTGTATCCTTGGTAATTGTCCTCATGGTAAACCAGTCAACACAACTTCTGTGAGCTGCTTGATCAGTGTAACCCAAGGAAGGTAGAGGGAGCCCAGTTTATAACTATTGGTCATCAGAAGGAAAGGTGATGAACCATGAGACTAATCCCCTAACTGTGGGATCTGATGCTACAGGCAGACAGCCCCAGGGCTGAACTAAATCAGAAGATACCTGCTGGTGTCCACTACTGAGGAAGAAACTGCTTTCCGCTAAGCAACAGTCTCCACGCCTTTCGGGATCCCAGAAGTCTCCTGTGCTGACTGTGACATGAGACTGCAAGAGAAACTGACCCTTCTCTAGAGCTTCATACTGCCTGCCACTCCTTTAATCCCAGCACTTGGAAGGCAGGGGCAGGTGGATCTCTGTGTGTTTGAGGCCAGCCTGGTCTACAGAGCAAGTTCCAGGATGGCCAGGGCTACACAGAGAAACCCTGTTTCGAAAAACCAAAACTGAAAAAAGAAAAAGAACATTTACAACTTCATTGACTCCACTGGGATAATAAAATACCTTTCACCTCACAAGCAATGTGCA